AGACAAAATAGATTTTGATTTTATAATTAGGACAAAACTAAAAGTCAAACGGGGTCTTATATTAAGGACTGAGATAGTATCATTTAGTATGATATGAATCAGTTAACAAAGAGAAAATAGAAATAGCTTGTTAGCTTTATGATTGATTGGGTGTTTGGTAAAACCAAAACCACGGTTTCAGAATCACTTTTCCGCAAAACGAGGTAACCTCCTCCACATATTTACTTCGTAATCCGTGAAAACACTTCTGAAACCATGGTTTGGTTTCTATCCAAACACCCCTTTAGACACAATAAAATAATCATATGAAGTAGGCAATTTGATCATGCGGTGACATTTCAACATAAATTTTAAGAAAGAAAAAAGGAAACATGACAAAAAAAGGACTGTTGAAATTTGAAATGACTAAATGGGCATGCAAATAACTGAAATGACCAAATGGGCATGAGATATCAATCTAGAATTTTGTCAATTCGGTAGAAAGATTAAAATGCCCCTAAACCTCTCTGAAGATATGAACTGAAAGAAAACACATAGTATACCAGAAGAGAGAAAGTTGAGAAGACGAAGCTGGAGCAAGAGTCGAAATCTGAAAAGAAAAAAAAGGTAAGTAATTTTTCCATTAAAATGCTAGTATCGCCTGATTTCTTGACTCGTTTTGTTGCTGCATGCTCGAATGAGGATGGGCTTGTGAGTGTAGAAGGTTTAGATGAAGAATTTGACCAGGATGATAGAGTGACGCGTCGAAAATGGAAAAATGGTGGCAAACATTAAGCATGAGGTGGTCAGTGTTGTTAAATTCATTAGTGAAATTGTAAAATCCTATATTTAAGTTGTTAATGGAGTAAGTGGGTGTGTGTGTTTTTTGGGTGTTTCAAAAGATAAATAAAATTGATTATTGGAGAACTAAAATATTGATTTATACTTCTTTGTTGCAGGTTAGCAAGCTTTGATGACATCTAACATTGGGTCTAACATTGAGGAGTAATTTTTTTGGTATGAATAGAATAACTTTTGAACCCCTAATTGTTTTGGGAGAATAGTTGATAGGTAGGTTATCCTTTTTGTAAATGATGTTAACTGGGTAGGGTATGTTTTATAATCTGAATGACAAGAAAATATTAGGTAGTAACTTAATCTTAATGTTAACTTGTCATTTGAATATAAGTTATGTAACTTCTATCATATGCGCACTAGTTTTTAGTAACTATTATCACTTCAGTAGTCAATTCCATTATACATGTAGTAAAGTCTGAATGTTAATGTAGACATATTATGATGTTCTTCAGGTGTACTTGTATGCTATTTTGTCAACACATTTTACCATTTGCTTAATTTCTTCAAGGGAGATGGTGGAAGTTGCAATGGGCATGACCGGAATGATTAATTTGATTACAAATACTGTTATTCACATTACAAATATTGTTATTATCATTATCGTGGTAGTAAAATTGGCTGAAAATAGATGTTACTTGGGTTTGAAAGAAATGAATTACAAATGGCAATAGCGAGATAGTAACTCTTATTACAAAAGTTGTAATTCACCTTACAAATGTTGTCATTATCATTATCAGGGTAGTGAAATTGATTCCAAATACATGTTAAATTCATTTCACATTAACCAGTTGCAAATGGCAATAACGAAATCGTAACTCTCATTACGAAAGTTGTAATTCACATTACAAATGTTGTCATTATCATTATCGAGATAGTGAAATTAGCTCCAAATACATATTATTTGGGTTTGAAATAAACGAGTTGCAAACCGCAATAGCGAGATGATAACTCTCATTACAAAAATTGTAATTCATATCACAAATGTTATCATTATCATTACCAAAGTAGTGAAATTGGCTCCAGATACATGTTACTTGGGTTTGAAATAAACGAGTTGCAAATGGCAATATGGAAGTGGTCACTTTCATTACGAATGTTGTTAATCCCATTATGTGTGTAGTGAAATTTGGGTCCAAGTAGATGTAATTTGGGGTACAAATAATTGAGTTGCAAATGCCATGACAAAAGTTACAACTTTCATTATGCATGCTGTAATTATCATTACTTGTTTAGTGAGATTATCCCAAAAAAGATTTAAATTAAGCCAACAAATATTATAACTTACAACCTACAACCATAAGTCAAGTATTTTGACAATATCTAGACACTACTTTCACAAGTACTATATGTTTAATTTACGTAATCTTTACTACTATCACAAATGCTGTCTTTTGGTCAGTGTGGTGGCTTCATTTGATGAAAACAAGCTCAATGCTTCGTCACGTCTTGAATTAAGGTCATGATTCACTAGCCACCACATGAATGCATAATTCAGTAACTTGAAACTGATTTTTCAGCTTCTACTTTGAACTCATAGGCTATAAAACAATTTGATTCAAATAGCACAATCATAATTCAGCACTTAGAGACATAAATCATTATGTCCAAATCAGTTTTTAATCTCTAGCTCTCCAATCCTCAAACCAGTAGATTTAAAAAAAAAAAGAAGAAAGGAAAATCAGTTTTATGCCTCGATACTTTAATTCCACAAGCATCAATTCACAAGCAATAACCCACATAGTCATATATATACAAATATTTTACACGTATTGAATCAGCTTTTAACCTTCAAAACATTTCAACTAGCAGTAATATATAATCTGTAAATTATTTCTACTTTCAGAATATGCTAATATATAATTCAGATTCATTAAACAGTCTCTGAACACCATTATATCAGCTTCTAAATTTCCAAAACTTGAATCCCGCAACCTCAAGAATTAATAGCCCCAGTAGCAATGAACAAACACACATGCTTGTAAGATGACATGTCATAGCCACTCACTACCCCGATAATGAAAATAACAATATTTGTAATGTGAATAACAACATTTGTAATCAAATTAACCACTTCGGTCATGCCTATTGGCAACTTCCACCATCCCCCTTGGAGGAATTAAGCAAATGGTAAAATGTGTTGACAAAATAACATACAAGTACACCTGAAGAACATCATAATATGTCTACATTAATATTCAGACTTTACTACATGTATAATAGAATTGACTACTGAAGTGATAATATTTACTAAAATCAATACGTCTATGATAGAAGTTACATAACTTATATTTAAATGACAAGTTAACATTAAGATTAAACCACAACCTAATGTTTTCTTGTCATTCAGATTACAAAATATATCCTACTCAGTTAACATCATTTACAAAAAGGATAACCTATATCAACTATTCTCCCAAAAAAATTAAGGGTTCAAAAGTTATTCTATTCATACCAAAAAAATTACTCATCAATGTTAGACCCAATGTTAGATGTCATCAAAGCTTGCTAACCTGTAACAAAGAAGTATAAATCAATATTTTAGTTCCCCAATAATCAATTTCATTTATCTTTCGAAACACCCAAAAAACACACACACACCCACTTACTCCATTAACAACTTAAATATAGGATTTTACAATTTCACTAATGAATTTAACAACATTGACCACCTCATGCTTACTGTTTGCCGCCATTTTTTCATTTCCAACGCGTCACTCTCTCATCCTGGTTAAATTCTTTATCTAAATCCTTTACACTCACAAGCCCATTTCCATTCGAGCATGCAGCAACAAAGTGAGTCGAGAAATCAAGCGATACTAGCATTTTAACGGAAAAATTGCTTACCTTTTTCCTCTTTCCACATTTCGACTCTTGTTCCAGCTTCGTCTTCTCAACTCTCTCTCTCTCTTCTAGTATATTATGTGTTTTCTTTCAGTTCATATCTTCAGAGAGGTTCAGGGCGTTTTAGTCTTTCTACCGAATTGACAAAATTCCAGATTGATATCTCATGCCCATTTGGTCATTTCAGTTATTTGCATGCCCATTTTGTTATTTCAAATTTCAACAGTCCTTTTTTTGTCATTTTTCCAAAAAAAAATCCTAAATTTTAACAAAATATTTTTAAGGTTAGAAAAATAGATGGAAAATTTTTGTAATTTTAACAAAACTAGATGATGGTAAATATATAGCTTGTCAGGTTTGCTCTTTCAGTCACGCCTACTAGCACATTTTTCAAGATTTAAACTTCTGTTTTTTTTTTTTAAAACTATTTCCACAAATAACTTGTCGGTATGATCTTCTATATTTTACTGGAAATATAATGTCTTTTTTTTAATTGTGAAAAAGATTTAATTTTTGTTTACCTACGAAATTAAAAACTATTTGATAAGTGAAAAAAAAAGAATATTAAAATTAAAGGAATACTACGTTTAAAAAGTTGAGATTAATATTTCGAAAAAATTAAATTAACCCTGCAAAACCAAAAAAATAACATTAAAAATGAAAGACATTGTGCCTAAAGATAATCTTAGTGAATCCAGTTTAAACATAAGCCATCTTTTTTATAGATTCATAATAATATCAACTCTATAATACTGCTTTTCGGTTTTAATTATAAAATTTCATTTATAGTCTAGACATCTTATTATTGGAACCGGAAGTTGTATTTACCCACTTACCATATCATGACATATTTATGGGAAAATTGATAAAAAAACTTTATTACAAAATTTATTGTCTAAAAGTATCTAAGCACCTAGGTTATTGAAGAATGCAACTCACTTGCACCTCTCCTTTAACTATAAGTAATATATATTAAATTTGATGCAACATAAGTTGTATTTGGGTCATTAAATAAATTTCACATGCTTTTAGATAATAAATTTTGCGACGAGAGATCTTTTACCAATTTTCCCTTTTATCAGTTTTTTACTTTTAAATAATCTAATTTCGAAAGTTTAACGGATTTTTTTTTTTTGGGGTCAATAACAGGATTTTCAAATATAAGACGTTCCTACAACCACTTGGCATCAACGCATTCAGAGAATATTTACTAAAATACGGCGCCGTTTCGAGCTTCATCTAGAACCTTCCCTTTATTTCTCCGTCTGTCTCTCACCCTTTTTGCTAGAACAATCCTCCATTTCCGTTCATTTCCTTGCCGAAGTCTAAAACCCTAAACCCTCCTTAAAGAGTTGCTCTCTCTCTTTTTCTCTGCTTGCTTCTGGCATTCCTTTCTTCTGGGTCTCCTCCTTGGTTGATTTCTCTTCAATTTCCGTCCCTTTGCCATGGCCACAGCAGCCTTGTTCCGCTCCCTTCGGCGCCGTGATGTTGTCTCTGCTTCTTTCTCTACCTATCGCTCGGTACCTACATGCTCTTGCTTTTGTTGCCGACACTAGATTATTTTTTCGAATTGTCTTCATTTTTGTGTTTTGGATCTTGCTTTCTTGTTTAGTGGAGGTTTTTCTTTTCGCCGGGAATAACTTGCTTTTGTAGAAAATGGCATAATTTGTTATAATCAAATTATGATCCGATACTTATAGTATTTCAACCATTTCTGGTTGTTTTAGTTAGCTTATAAATTGTTTTCCTGACATGGGATCATTTATGAATCTCTCGGAACTTTTGATAAAGCTGGGCGGCTGTTTTGAGTGGCTCTTTTTAGCAGGAAAAATTTGTGTTCCTGCAAATGACCTCTTATGAATTTCATCCATTCCCAGTTTTTTTGCGAGGTTTTCTTAAGCGGGTCAATGGTTTTCCTGACGTGGGACTTCTTACGAATTAACTACTCTGATGTCAAATTCTATTTCTTATGCAGATAGTGCAGATAATTTTAGTTGATTCTGAATGACTTTGATGTGTTGAGTTTACAAGCATTCTTTCAAAAACAAAAAAAATACCTGTGGTCAGCAGCTGAACGAAAAACTGTCAAATGGCTCATTTCTCCAAGTAGTTAGATTCTGATTGACTAAATAGATTTAGAGGCCTCGTAAATGCTAAAGTTGCTTCAATGGAAAATAGAGGCATTGGTCAGTCTTGTGTTACAGATTATTTGGGTCATAAAAAATTGGATTTACCTTACTATCTGAACAGAGTCATTTTGTAGATTAGTTGAATATTTAACATTAGCCTAAACAGATTTGGGTGTGGGAAATGCTAAATTTGCTTCTATGGAAAATGGACGTAGTGTTCTGTGATGCTCTTACAGATTATTGATGTCATGAAGAACTGGATTTAGCTTTTGCCTGTTTATCTACGCTGAGTCCATTTACAAGGACTGGTTTTCCCTTTAATTAGAAAATATGGGATGCTTTTGCCTTAAAATGTGAACTCTCACGATGCCTGATGCTAGTCTTTGTTGGTATTATTATCTGATTTTGAGGGCGTCTAAATGTCTTAATTTATGTTGATACTTGATACCATGGAATCATCTTAACTGTATGCGCCTGTCACGTAGTTGAGTATTTCAAAGAACTAAAAATATTTTGTTACACAAATGTTTGTGCTGTGTACAGTTGACAGGTAGCTCTAAACCAGCACATGTCAATCAATTCTGGACAAGTTTGTCTCGCCCATTCAGGTTTTGTTTCTTTTAGTTCTAATTCAAGTAATTGCTAGCAAATTGCTCTTTCCTTTATGGTCATTAATCCTGTTCCTAATAAAATTTTATCATATTATTTCATATGCATTTCAGCTCAAGGCCTGCTGGTAATGATGTTGTTGGTATTGATTTGGGTACTACCAATTCGTGTGTTGCTGTTATGGAGGGAAAGGTAGAACATTCTTCATTCATCTCTTGGATTTTTTCAAATAGTGTACATATTTATTTTTTATATGTGGTGTTCTTGACTAATATTACATGCTTTGCAGAATCCTAAAGTCATTGAAAACTCTGAAGGAGCTCGTACAACACCGTCTGTGGTTGCCTTCAATCAGAAAGGAGAGCTGCTTGTTGGTACGCCAGCCAAACGGCAGGCTGTAACCAACCCAACAAACACAGTTTTTGGAACCAAGCGTTTGATTGGTAGGCGATTTGACGATCCTCAAACTCAGAAGGAGATGAAGATGGTCCCATACAAGATTATTAAGGCTCCAAATGGGGATGCATGGGTTGAAGCTAATGGGCAGCAATATTCTCCTAGCCAAATTGGTGCCTTTGTACTTACCAAAATGAAGGAAACTGCAGAATCATACCTTGGAAAGTCTGTCTCAAAAGCTGTAATCACTGTGCCCGCTTACTTCAATGATGCACAGAGGCAGGCAACAAAGGATGCTGGTAGAATTGCAGGGCTTGATGTTCAGAGAATCATAAATGAGCCCACTGCAGCTGCACTTTCGTATGGGATGAACAACAAGGAGGGTCTAATTGCAGTTTTTGATCTTGGAGGTGGAACATTTGATGTTTCCATATTAGAAATTTCCAATGGTGTTTTTGAGGTATGGAAACTCGTTTATTTCAATGCCCTCTCTGTTTTTGTTTTGGAGCTTGTAGGATTAATTTGGCTATTGGTGATAATATTGCTTGATGTATAGGTGAAAGCAACAAACGGTGACACTTTCTTGGGAGGAGAAGATTTTGACAATGCCCTGTTGGATTTTCTAGTGAGTGAATTCAAGAGAACTGAGAGTATTGATCTTTCAAAGGATAGACTTGCCTTGCAAAGACTCAGAGAAGCCGCTGAGAAGGCTAAGATTGAATTGTCATCAACATCTCAAACTGAAATCAACCTGCCTTTCATCACTGCTGATGCATCTGGTGCAAAGCATCTGAATATCACATTGACTAGGTCCAAGTTCGAGACTTTGGTGAATCACTTGATTGAAAGGACAAAGGCACCATGTAAGAACTGCTTGAAGGATGCCAACATCTCCATTAAAGATGTTGATGAGGTTCTTCTGGTTGGTGGGATGACTCGCGTGCCTAAAGTGCAAGAGGTTGTTTCTGAGATCTTTGGAAAGAGTCCTAGCAAAGGTGTAAATCCTGATGAGGCAGTTGCAATGGGAGCAGCTATCCAAGGTGGTATCCTACGTGGAGATGTTAAAGAATTGCTTCTCCTAGATGTGACCCCACTGTCATTAGGTATTGAAACTTTGGGTGGTATCTTCACAAGGTTGATTTCAAGGAACACTACAATCCCTACCAAGAAGAGTCAGGTAATCCTTGAAATTGATGATAGCTTATTATAGTTGATTTTTTTGGTGAGAAGCATACTTTTTGGTATTATGTAGTTTTCCAGAAGTAACTATTCTCTCAATTGTGCGCCTAGATGTTAGTTCCCATAAGGTATCTTATATATGGGATGGTAGCATAGCACAGACGAATATGTAAGTGGAGGAAATAATTGTTTTGAATATGCTCCTAAGCTTTCCTTGCTGCATTGTGTTTCTGGCGCCTTGCTTTAGTAATTTATAGACGTAAGCTCATTATAATTAAATGCTTTTTGAGCTGCATGATGAAAGCCTTTCATAACTGCTTTTATTATTGTTACAGGTGTTCTCAACTGCAGCTGACAATCAAACTCAAGTAGGCATCAAGGTGCTGCAAGGAGAGCGTGAAATGGCTTCTGACAATAAACTACTTGGAGAGTTTGAGCTTGTTGGCATCCCCCCTGCCCCAAGAGGTATGCCTCAAATTGAGGTCACATTTGACATTGATGCCAATGGTATTGTCACCGTCTCTGCCAAGGATAAAGCCACTGGTAAAGAACAACAAATCACTATTCGTTCATCCGGAGGACTTTCTGAAGATGAGATTGAGAAGATGGTCAAAGAAGCTGAGATGCATGCCCAGAGAGACCAGGAAAGAAAGGCTCTGATTGATATCAGAAACAGTGCAGATACTACCATCTACAGCATTGAGAAGAGCTTGAATGAGTACAGAGACAAGATTCCAAGTGAAGTTGCCAAAGAGATCGAGGACGCAGTTGCAGATTTGAGGACTGCAATGTCAGGCGACAATGCAGAGGAAATTAAGGCCAAGGTTGATGCTGCTAACAAGGCTGTCTCCAAGATTGGCCAACACATGTCAGGTGGCGGTAGTGGTGGTTCATCTTCTGCTGGAGGATCTCAGGGTGGTGACCAGGCCCCTGAGGCAGAATATGAGGAGGTCAAGAAGTGAAAAATGTAGTATAGTTATTGCTAGCTGTTTAATGTATCACTTAGAATTAATGATTACAGGATGATGAATATTTGCCAACAGGGTAAGAGGTTCATGCAACTTTTTGTTTAATGTTTTTAAGGGTCATTTATAAGATGAGGCTGTTCATTGGTGTTGTCCTCAGAAAGGCATTGAACTGTGCCCTTGGAATAACGACGCTGAAATTTTTGTCGTTTTGGCTTCAAGTGTTCTTTTCGCACCATCGTTTCGATTTGCTTCAAGCATTTTACTTGCTGTTACTTTTTCTGTAAGATATGTGAATTCCTCAACGAGTACAAATGTAGAATCCTTCAAAACACCACTAATTATATATGTATGAAGGGGCTGGTAGGGCATGGCTGGATCCTGTTTCTGGCTACTCTTTTTCTTCACTGTATGGGGAAATCCGGCTTTGAAAGATGACGTTGACTTGGATCTGAAAACACAATACTACTTCCGATTCTTAATATAAGACTTTGTTTGATTTTTATTTTAGTTCTAAATATAAAACTTAAATCTATTTTGTCTCTCATATTTATATATATATTTTTTAAAGTAACTCTTCTAACAATAGTAGTTTTAACTAATACACTTGATGAGTAATGATATGTTAGAAAAGATAATACATATTTATTATAAATAACTAATTTAATTTTTTTTAATTTTTTTAAATTATCAATTAGTTTTATAAATAGCACCAGAGGCAGTATTTTAGTTAGAGGGGGCAACTGCTTCGGGTAATAAAGTACCTCTGCGGTTTTTTGGGCTTTTACCTCTGTGACCGTTTGTGCTACTAGGAAGGAGTGTGATTTCCAGTTTGCTAAGGGTACAATTGCCAGACTAGAATTTATGAAACTAAAGTAAGGGGAAAAATAAGTTGGGAGTACTTTTTTATACGAAAAGAGACTTCAAAGACTAAAACTTATAATTTGAAGTTATAAAGATCAAACCAAAATGAGGATGAACTATAAAGACGAAGTAAACATTAAAATAACCCCATATATGTTTGTGTCAAATTTTATATTATAAATATATATATGAATTATGTCCAAATTATATTTGTTTATATATTTCAAGTATTCTTTTTTTTAATAAATAGAATAATATTATATATTTTTATTCAACATATCAAATTTTATGGCACATATTATACATCGTCAAACTTGTATTCTTTTTCATTATTGAGAATTATATTGAAAGATTAATTTTACAATGATTATTTTGGTTCTCAAGCATTTTTGAAGAACCAAAACCAAAGTAGTGATAATTAAACATTGTATTAAAGGAGAATTACAATAAAGTCCCATGCAAGAAAAAAAATGACAGAACAAGTATAAGAGGTTGTGATTCTCCATTTTAAAACTTGTTATTACAGGCTATACAGGTTGTTATTAGACCTTTTAGTAGTTATTTTTCTTGCATGAGGCCTGATTGTAATTTTCTCTTGTATTAACCTTGTGTGTGTAAACAAAAAAAAGTGCGAATGCTAAACTAAAGCTGTTCTAATTGGTTTTTAAAGAATAAACTCTGACATAAGTGAAATGATTGTGAAGAATAGATTTTAAACAAAATAGATTATATGAAAAAGTAATATCGATAAATCGAAAATATTTGGATAGTATATGTAAATTATTAAAATGGGCATAAACTAATGTAATTTTGAGATAAAAACAATAAAAATGATTGTTTTGTATTTTTAAATTAAATTTTTTTAAAAAAATTTAGTATATTTTCTAAAAATAATATCATTATTGTTTCATCTCAAAGACACCCAATCTATTTTAATATTGATAAACAATAATAATTTATTCATCGCAGTTTGATAATTTTTGAAAGGAAGAAGATGAAATTATGTTTGACACTCTCGTTATTACACTCAAAACCATGGTTTTCAATGTATAATTGTTTTTGTAGGGGAGGGGAATTCAGCTGTTTGGCTTCCTCTTCTAAAAATCATGATTATTTTTGTTTCAATCCACACACTTATGTTCATCAATGAAAAAAAAAGGGACCGGACCGGCTAAGTCAACCGAAAACTGGTGAACGGCTCTAAATCCGGTCTGGTTCATGCAGGAAACCGGCCACTTAAAGAACCGATAAATAACCAGTTAGACCGGTATTAAACCGGTCAACTGCCTGGTTTGGGGAGTTGACCGGTTTAATTTTTGCCCCAGCCCATGCCTAAAATGACGTCATCTTACACTTAAAAAAAAAATTTGGAACTCTATCGTTCGATTGTTTTCCCTCAGTCCCTCCCTCCTCCTGGCCAGATTGCACATTCCCTCCCCCATTCCCATCTTCGAGTGTTCAACCGTTCTCCACTTCTCCCTGCCCCAAATCCCTTGAAGTGCCATCGAGTTGCCGTGGAGAGTGGAGACAGCAGCGCGGTGGTCGACCTGTGGTGGAGACGAAGCCACAGTGGTTGCCCAAGATTCCCATGCCCTCCTTCATTTCGACTGTGCTCCCTGCCCCAGATCCCGATTGCTCACCTTGCCTGAAACTAAAAGGCATCCAGCATCCTTCAATCTCCAGCTAAGTAGAGATTTCTGCCTGAAAATAAATATCTCTAGCTCGCCTTGCCCCAGATCCGTTGGTCGTTCTGCTCGCCTTGCCTGAAAATAAATATCTCTGCTTTGAGCCTTTGATTTCTGCCTTTCTCCACAGGCCGAGAGGTTTGGGAAATGGGAAGTGAGGGGAGATGAAAATCTCTAGCTAAGTTTAGCTTCTTGAGAGTTCTACCTTTCACCGAGAGGTTTGCTCGCCTTGTCTTTGCCTTTCAAGTTTCTCCACTGGCCGAGAGGTTTATTTTGCCTTTCACCAGATTTTTTCTTTCAAACTAAAACAAATAAACAATGTTAGAAGTGTTAGAATGATGAATATGATCGATTGTTTTCTGCTACTCCACTGAAACTCTGTTGCTACTATGTAGTTGATAAGTAGAAGTGTTGGAAATTATAATGATGATTGTTTTATTTTAATATTTTATGAATTAAATTGTATTATTTTAATATGACCGGTTCGACCCCGGTCCGACCTCTAGTCCGACTAGTGACCCTTGACCCATTGCCTTGGCCGGTTTAGTTTTCAGTCCCTTTTTTTGTTCCTTGATGTTCATCCATTTTCCTCAATTGTGTTTGATTTCATATTTTCATTTGTCAAATTTAAAGGTTGTGGTGTTTTTTTGTTTTTGGTTGTTTTCATGGCTCATTAACATTATCATGCAAAATGACTCATTAACTTGGGTATAGTTTGAACTAGAGATGCAATGGCCATATTGAACTAGCTATATAGCGAACAAACTAAAACATAACTTCCTTTCATTTTGAAGAAAATAGAACTTCTTGTTATATTCAAGTAGATGAAGTATACAATTCAAAATTGCTATAGTCAGGACTTCCTTCCATTATGCATTTTGCATTACTTGAATCTCAACCTTAATTAGTAAATCCTTTTGGTATTTGATTGAATACTGAATCTCAGCCTTGTTGTAATAAAGTTGTTTTTCCAGATGCTACACTTATAAACAAGCGAAGAGTCAGAGTCTGTTTCTCACATGGATGTCTAAGAACAAACATAAATTTGCTAGGACATTAACATATCTTGAGTTCCCTCCTATTACTACCATTATACATTTGACAAGAAGCAAAGAATAATATGGAGGATAAATTAGGGGGCAACCAACACGTATATACTATATCAAGATGCTAAATACAATCCCCACTCTTTGATACACTCTTTACTACATTAAAATTAAAACATTAAAACTTTTTCATTATCCTTTATTAACATCTGCATTGCTCTTCTCTCTTCTTGTTAGGTAAAGGTCCATCTTTTATAACTTCAATATTTAGTTAGCATAGAGGATAAGACAGCCACTATTTGCAATGCCAATCCAAAATCTAAGAGTTCAATCATTCAATCCAACTAGTTCTTTTTCCTTTTTTTTTTTTTAATTGGCTTAAACATAATATAGTTAGGAAGAATTTATTTCAAATATTTCTCATATTCTTCTTAAGTGTTTGATTTCTTTCTTGTGCAACAAAACTGACAATGACAAAAAGCTGAGTTGTTGTCTTTTAGTTCAATCCAGCAAATCCTATTTTGTTTCATATAGTAATACTACCTCTAATCCTTAATATAATATTTTGTTTGATTTTTATTTTGGTCCTAAATATAAGACTCCAATCTACTTTGTTTCTTATATTTATCCTTTTTTTTCCAAGATGGTGCTTTAATAATGATAGTCCTAGATAAAAAAACTTGATTAGTAAGGATATTTTAGAAAAAACAACGCATATTCATTACAAATAACTAACTTAACTAAATTTCTTAATCTCTCCAAATTAGTCAACTAACTCTTATAATTAGGACCGAAGGTAGTAAATTATATTTTGCTTAATATGATAACAAATCATATTTTGTTCAATAGTAAGCTTATCCAGACTTATTCATGCTGGTTAACTGATCTTTATAGAGTGATTGAGACTTCACTAAACCCAATACTTTGGGTTTATTCATGTCAATATTACTAGACCGATTTAAATGCTTATCTACAGCAGATTTCTTAATAAAGGTAAGTTTTAACGAATACTACCTTTGATCGTTAATATAAGACTTTGTTTGATTTTTATTTTGATCTTAAATATAAAACCCCAATCCACTTTGTTTCTTATATTTATGTATTTTTTTTCAATATAGTTCTTCTAACAATAGTAGTTCTAGCCAATATACTTGATTAGTAATGATATTTTAAAAAACAACACCTATTTATTACAAATAACTAACTTAACTGTTTTTTTTAATCTCTTCAAATTAGTTAACTAGCTCTTATAAATAGGACCGAAGGTAGTATTATATAGCTAGACAAGTCAAAAGTTATTCCATCCAATCAATCAGATGGCCTAAAGCAATTTAAATGATAAGAAAAAGTATATAAATATCATTGGATGGCAAACTCTATTTTTAAAATTTACCTTTTGCTAACTCTTTGGCAAAGCACATTGGACCATAATAAGAATGCATAGCCTCCAATTTTGCCTAGCCTTCAAGTGTTCCAACACCAACGATGGCTTGCTGCACCTTTGGAGAAAAGTAAGCATGATTACAAAACTATAACATGGGTAAAATTAAAGACACAAAATAAATACTACATTCCGACACTAAATGTAACATCTAATTTGTAATTTGTAATAACAAGACAAGTTTACTCATGGAAAAAAATAAATTTAAAAAACTGAATAAAATTTTTCAAAATTAGCCAAAATTAAAAACGGCCACGTTTTGCCCTTTCCCTCGTTGCCTATCTCGAAGGTGATCAACCACGTCAGCGACTAAAATTGGCATAGGAACTTTATAAAACTAATAATTTTTTTGAGAATTACTTAAAAATTATAATTATAATTATAATTTTTATATTTTCCCTTTCAGGGTTAACGGCACAAAACGAGTCTGACTGAACTCACGCATAAAACCTAAGCATTTTTTGGCGTCTCTGTTCTGGTAGCCGGAGGTTTAACCCTAAAGCTACGAGCCTATATTATCTCCGCCACCGCCTTCCGCCGCCTCCGACCACGGTCATTAGCATTGTCACTAGATTATCCTTTTTATGAATGGCTGCTAAGAAAAGAAGCTCTGACGTTGAACACGACGGAGGGGTCGAAGTAGGAACGGAACACAGCAATGACTCTCCAAAACCCTTGAAGAAGAAAGTTAAGAAAGACAAGGAAAAGGCTGGGCAAGAAGATGTGGCAGCTTCCACGCCTTCTTCTGTTAAGCCTATGGAGAGGAAGAAGAAGAGGAAAGCTGTGGACAAGGACAGACGGCGTGCTGAAGCAGAAAACGATGGGCCCAAGCCTGTTCAAGCGAGTGACGACACAAAAGGTGATATTGAAACGAGGGCTTCATCAATGGCCTCGCCTAGTACAAGTGGTGCTCTTCCAGAGTTCCATATTGGTGTTTTTAAGGACTTGGCATCGGCTGATGAGTCAGTAAGGGAAGCTGCGGCGAAACGATTAGTGACGGAATTGAAGGAAGTTCAGGAGTCTTATGATAGGCTTGAGAATAAGGAGGTTGTTGAAGGTGGGTTCAAATTGGAGGCTGAGAAGGATGATGGTTTAGACAACTGTGCGCCCTCTGTGAAGTATGCTGTTCGTAGACTTATTCGTGGTGTGTCTTCGTCAAGAGAGGTGAGTGTTTTGTTTGGTGCTTAACCAAGGTTTAATACAAGTCGTATTGTTGTGTTGCATGCCAATTGCTGCTATATTCCAGCACTGGGGATAATAACTGGCAGATATTTCAATGAACAATAACCTTCTTTGAAATATAAGAATATTTCAGTTTTGTAAAGCACTTAAAATACGATAATGCTTGCTTATGGATTTTTTCCCCCTCTGCTTCTTCTTGGAACTCTCTTAATTTGCTTTGTCATTCATTGCTTTTGCAGTGTGCGCGGCAAGGCTTTGCATTAGGTTTAACTGTTGTAATCGGTTCCATCCCTAACATCCGAGTTGAATCTTTCTTTAAACTAGTTGTTGATTTGTTGGAAGTAACTGCATCAATGAAGGGTCAGGTAGGTATTAGATTCATCAATTTTTTGGTTCACCACTCCATTTGTTGGGTACTGCATATCAAGCTGTATTATTTGTGGAAGTGTAGGAAGCAAGAGATTGTCTTCTGGGGAGGTTATTTGCTTATGGCGCTCTGGCCCGGTCAGGAAGACTTGCGCGAGAATGGAGTTTGGACAAAAACACTTCATACATTAGAGAATTTATCACGCTACTAATCTCACTTGCTGCTAAAAAGCGGTACTTGCAAGAACCTGCTGTCTCAATAATATTAGACTTGGTTGAAAAGGTTAGAAATTTATGACGACCAGAGAAATCTTTCCCTTGGAATTTAGTACTGCTAATCACATGCTTAGTTGCCCTCTATGCTGATATTGTTGTAGATTTTTGTGCTATATGATGTTTTGCAACCTCCTCATCTTTGATGTATATCTTGTAATTAATTAAAAGAGATGTTAGTTATAGTTGCATCACTAGTGATAAGCCTACATTAGGGGATGTTGTGTAAATCAGAATTATGCCAGAAGCTATTCGATTTGCAAGTCGGTTTCTCTTTGTCTCTATTATCTTCTACTACTTCCTACTGCTCCCTCTTTCTGAATTCCACCTACATCATAATCACACTTCCTCTATTGCTTAAAAGGACAATGTATGTTATTTTACCCGTACAAACACATCCACAATTTGCAGATGGGATTGCTGGCGGAACTAGCATTACTTGTTGGTGATCCAACTGATGTTTTCAATTAAAATTTTGAAGAACCATTTTTATAATGGATTTCATGAGTTGAATCTATAGTATGTTTGCCTGCTTTTCTGTTAATTTAACTTGTGCTTTTTCTCCCATCGCTTGTCATTCATGGCTTACAAGTATCTCTCTCTGCTCAGCTATTTGTTTATGTCCATAGACATGCAGTAGCACATGCAAACAATAATTGGAAAGTGTCTATACCACAGGTTGGCCTCTTCTCGTGGGATTGTGCTCTGGCTATGGAGAGGGCTTTTACATTTATGTAGCTTGACTTGTTTATTAGGCATTATTCTTGGTGTCGAGGCTTTTTATTCTCTCCAACTTACTGTAATCTTTCCTTGTTCTGTGAAAACCTCAATTTTCTGTATGCTTTATTTTTTTCTTGTTTACATAGATAAGTTTTCTGGTGGTTTGAAGTGTTTTGCTGCTTCAGACAAGTGTTTAACCTGTCACACCTGTTTGTTTTATTGTGCTTTTTTTTTTCCAGCTTCATTTTGAGGCTTTGTTACATCATGTCATTGAAGCCCCAGGGCTCCGTGAGTGGTTGGAAGCTGCTAAAGAAATTGGAAATCCGGATGCTTTGCTTCTAGCTTTAAAAGTTCGAGAGAAGATTCCCATTGACAGCTCAATGTTTGGTGGGCTTCTGCCAAATCCATTTGGCTCCAGCCAGGTCTTTGCCGCTGATCATCTGTCCTCCCTGAGTAATTGCTTGAAGGTAGCCTTTATTTATCTTTGTATAGCAAATATAATTTTGGATGCAAGCAATCAAAAAAACTGCTTCTCATGCATTTTCTAAACATGGCAGGAATCAACCTTCTGTCAGCCTCGAGTTCATAGTGTTTGGCCTGCTTTGATAAGTATTCTTCTACCTAACGCTATTTCCCAAGCAGAGGATGCAGCATCGGCTTCCAATTCATTAAAGAAACAAAAGAAGAGTCGAAAATCCAGCTCTTCTGAAGAAGAACTTACCAAGAACCTTAGGGCTTTCTGTGAAATAATTATTGAAGGATCCCTTCTCTTGTCATCCCATGACCGCAAGCACTTAGCTTTTGATGTTTTGCTTCTACTTCTTCAAAAGCTCTCTGCATCATTCATTCCAATTATTCTGTCCAACAAAGTTGTTCAGTGCCTGATGGATATACTATCGACAAGAAACTCCTGGCTATATAAAGTTGCACAGCATTTTCTCAAACAGCTATCAGAATGGGTTGGGGATGATGATGTCAGAAGAGTTTCTGTTATTGTGGCTCTTCAAAAGCACAGCAATGGAAAATTTGATTGTGTCACACGGACAAAAGTTGTTAAAGATTTAATGTCGCACTTCAAAACAGAACCTGGTTGCATGCTTTTTATTCAGAACTTACTGAACCTGTTTGTGGATGAAGGTAATGCTCAGGAAGAACCATCAGACCAGAGTCAAACAACAGATGAAAACTCTGAAATAGGTTCATTTGAGGAAAAGGATTCTCTTGGGACCAATGGGAATTCTGACTTTTTGAAGAGTTGGGTCATAGAATCCCTTCCAAGTATTTTGAAATATTTGAAGCTGGATCATGAAGAGAAGCTTCGAGTGCAAAAAGAAATCATGAAATTCCTTGCTGTTCAGGGTCTATTCACTGCATCTCTTGGCACTGAGGTGACTTCATTTGAGTTACAGGAGAAGTTTATGTGGCCAAAAGCTCCCACATCAAGTGCTCTTTGTAAGATGTGTATTGAGCAACTTCAGATGCTATTGGCAAATGCTCAAAAAGAGGAAGGCTTACGTGCATTAGCAAATAGTGTTGAACCAAATGATCTTGGTTCTTACTTCATGAGATTTTTCAGCACCTTACAAAACATTCCTTCTGTTTCCCTTTTTCGGTCATTAGATGATGAGGATGAAAAGGCAATAAAGAATTTGCAAGAAATGGAAGCAACATTGTCCAGAGAGGCAAGTGTCATGACATTTCCTAGACACAATTGTTATAGTTGTTTTCTACCTTTATGGAGCTCGATATTGCCATGATGCATGAGCTTGCCAGTTTCTTTTTCAAATTTATCTTTGAAACGTTTTACACATGTAGCATTGTTCTCTGAGATTTGTTTTCTTGATGTCTTCATATATATAAGCATGATAGCTTTAAAATCTGCACTTGGTGATTGTAACTTAAGTGCGCAGCATAATAGTTTGGTGCTATTGAAATATAAGTGGTTGTTAGGCCCAAACAGCCAAAAATAGAAAAGATGATGGATTAATTGATGATGATATATCTTAGATGCTTCTTCATAGTTTTGAATATGGCATTCGTATAATTGTCTTTATGAAATTTTTTATGGCTCTTAGTGAGACCATTGTGCTAAACCACTGCTCTGAGGTTGACTAGTTAATTAGGCTTGTGATTCACTGAATTCAGTGTCTTGTGGCAGGAAAGGAGCCTTGGCCTTCATACTTATATTAACAGATTGCATGCATTGCGGTATTTACTTATTCAGTTGCTTCTGCAAGTGCTGCTTCGATCAGGGGAATACTCTGAAGCTGTATCTGAACTCATCATATGTTGTAAAAAGGCTTTTCCTGCTTGTGATATTCCTGATAACTCAGGAGATGATGTGGAGGTTGGTACAGAGCCTGACTTCATGGATGTTCTTGTGGACACATTACTCTCACTGCTTCCACAGTCGTCAGCTCCTATGCGATCTTCTATTGAACAGGTCAGCAAATGCAAAACAATGCACGTTTCATCTTCTGCTTCTTTATCAATTATAGTATTTATGATCACATTGGAGAGTATTATATAACTAAAATAAAATATTCATGGATCTTTGCATGAAAAGCTTAGGCTTTGAAGTTAAAATGATTTTTAAATGGTACAAGAGCCTCTGTGGAGGTGTTTTTTCCATGCTGCTTCAATTCTGGTAATTAGAAATTTTCAGAACAAGGTGTGACAACCTTGTGCTTGATTTGCTTGAAAAGCTCAAAGGGCTTTTTGTGATAGAAGAGAATTTTTGACACCAGTACCGAGCTTTGAATTAACCCCTTAAACTTTTTGAGCTGAATAGCCGTAGACATGTGTAGGATCAATGGCTACAACATCCTTGGTGCATGGCCATATGTTGCATCTTAACGTCCTGCTCTAGTAATGCTGCCTGCTAATAACATGCATTAACCACCTCTGAATTATATCTTATGCTTATGGCAGGCAGGTATTGTAGACTTTATTTAATATATACCAGCCAGCTTTTGACGCCTTTAACTATAGATTGATAGATAAAGAACTTGTTAGGTACACAAGGTTCCTAATCTATTTTCAGTTAAGAAAACAGTAGTCTTGGAGAGGATATATAGAGTTGAAGAATATAAATAAATTTAATATGTTTTTTGTATTTTCATTTTTTGGAGGTGTGAGATAGGTGAGAAAGGGTTATAGATTGAGTAATAACTTTTTTTTCTTTTGCTATCTATACACCTGAATATGCTGGGTGATTGAAAGGACTCATAAACGTGACTGCTCCTCATCTAGATCTTTACTTAGTTTTAGCACTCATGGACATTCCTTGATTTTAGTTTTGCTGATATGATCCTCCCATTCGAGGTGGTGCTGGGATACCACTGATGCCTATCTTGCAAATAATTAAGTGAAAAGGAGACTAGTAACTATTTAGTCTCTTGGTCAAGACATTGGTCAGATGTTCTTGTTTGTTAAAAGGTTGTGACCATTTTCTTGAGATCCACGACAATATCAACTTGTTTTGGACTGTCATCTAGCATTAGGTTACAAGTTATGTTTGCGGAAACCTTGTTACTCTGTCAAGTGATTGGCTTATCATCATTCCACCAATCCAAGATCCTTAACAAACTTAGGAGTTCAGAATCCCCTTGATCCGTTTCCTTATGCTTGACCTTGCCATCAGCCTATCACAGATCGCTTCTTTTCTTACGTTATTATATTGCCCCCAATAAATCAAAATAGCCATTTGTGGTTTTTCAATCATTTCGAGATCTTGTTTATCCTGCATCCAGTAATTCTCATGTGAAAAATGCTTCCTTGCAGCTTGATATTTAAGCATCTCATTTCATAATACTCTTCTTTTTTCAAAGTCAAGGGTCGTGTGCAAAATGGCTTGCTATCACATTTCCAACAGGATGGTTCTTCTGAAGAGGAGTGTTGTTTATTTATTTAAGGAACTCTTAAGACCTTGTAAAATGAAGATACCCTTATCAGTTTCCAGAGTGTTGGTTATTTATTTAAGGAAATCTAAGACCTTGTGAAATGAAGATACCCTTATCAGTTTCCACAACATTAATTTTTTGTTCATAATGTTATTTACCAAATCTTTTAACTCTTGACAGTCATGCCATCAACGGACAAAACTATAGGATGGATTCTGGTGTGGAATTGTATAATACTATCACTGAAATGCCCAAAGATCCACTGTTGCACTGTACAATGTGCTGCGGAGCACCACAATGGTGTAAATAAGAGAAAAAAAATGTAATGGCTTGTGTTTGGCGGGCGCAGCATCTTTTATTGGGCTGTTAGCATTTAAGGATTACTCCCACTTTTTTGGTGTTTGTAATGGTATTCCTTGACAAGTAGCATTAAAAGTCTCTTGAAAAGGTATTCCTTGACAAGTAGCATTAAAAGTCTCTTGAAAAGGTATTCCTTAGCAAGTAGAGCATCAAAAGTCTCTTGAAAAGATTTGGAAATTTTGTTGTGCCAGGACAAGGTGGGATCACGTTAGAGCCTTTTTCTGCAATTCTTTTACGCCTTTCCCCCACCCTCACACTCCCACCCCAAAAAAACAAAAAAACAAAAAAACAAAAAACAAAACAGAAAAGAAAAGGGAAAAGGGAAAAAATGAAAAGGGCCTCACTAATTGTTACACTGTAGGAAATGGTTTTCTTCTTAAGGATCCTAATTTTATTCTTTACCTAGTTACCTTTTTTTTAAAAAAAAAAATTTACAACCATAATCTAACATTCTCCATATGCAGGTATTCAAATCTTTCTGCAATGAGGTTACTGATGATGGACTAATGAGGATGTTGCGGGTAATTAGAAAAAGTCTAAAACCTGCTAGACATCCAGGAGGAGAGAATGAAGACGACGACGATGAGGATGACGACTTTATCAATATTGAAGATGAAGAAATTGATCAGGATGAGATGGGTGAAACAGCTGAGAGTGATGGGCAAACAGATGACTCAGAGGCAATAGTGGAGGTTGAGGAAACGGGTGATGAGCATCCTGAAGCTTCTGATGATTCTGATGATGGTATGGATGATGATGCTATGTTTAGAATGGATACATACCTTGCCCAGATTTTCAAGGAGAAAAAGAATCAGGCTGGTGGGGAAACTGCTCATTCCCAACTTGTGTTGTTCAAGCTGCGCATCCTTTCATTGTTGGAGATCTTCCTTCATGAAAATCCAGGCAAGTCTAGGTTGCTTATACTGTTAATATACGATGGGCCAGCATTTTACATTCATTAGCGATATTGAAAATTGAAAAATAAAAGAAATGGCTATATCTGAATTCAGTTTGGAGTGAAATTTTTGCATAGAGATTGTCTCCAAGAAAATATTTGAGTGATGCATATATGCATCAGCATATATAGGAATTAGTCACTTAGAAGGTTTTGAGTCAAAACTCTAATCCAGAAGCTTCTTTTTGTTTGCTATACTAATGGTGAATTACCTAGTTCATCTCTTGTTGAATTATTGATCTGGTCTTAGACACCCCCCCCCCCAAACAAGGGGGGGGGGGACCAAATAGAAGTACTCATGGTGGTCTTTTGATATATTATACAGATAAGCCCCAGGTTCTTATGGTGTACTCCAATTTGGCTCAAGCTTTTGTTAATCCGCACACAGCTGAGGTTAGTGAACAGCTTGGACAGCGTATATGGGGAATCTTGCAAAAGCAAATTTTCAAAGCAAAGGATTATCCAAAGGGTGACGGCGTCCAAATATCCACTCTTGAATCTCTGTTGGAAAGGAATTTGAAATTAGCTTCAAAACCAATTAAAAAGAAAAAGTCTGCATCTAATCCGTCAAAGCAATCAGCCTCCTGGAACAGGCAGAAAATGGTTTCTTCTCTCGCCCAAACTTCAACATTCTGGATTTTGAAAATTATTGATTCTAGAAAGTTCTCCGAGTCTGAACTCCGGAGAATTTATCAAATTTTCCATGAAGTATTGGCAGCATATTTTGATGATAAGAAGTCTCAAATCAAATCTGGATTCTTAAAAGAAATATTTAAAAGAAGACCATGGATCGGCCATAACTTGTTTAGCTTCCTTGTTGAGAAGTGTGGAAATGCCAAGTCTGATTTTCGTCGAGTTGAAGCACTTGATTTGATAATAGAAATATTGAAGTCATTGTCAGCAGCTGGTAAAGATGGTGACCAGAATGCCTCAAAAAAGATTCTTAAGATCAATATTGATATACTCTCTCATCTAGTGAAAGTGTTGGTGACAAATATGCCAAGCAAACAAGGAAGGCGGGCAGAAGTGAGGAAGTTCTGTGTCAAGCTCTTTGAGACCTTGTCTGCATTTAGCCTACCCAAGTCTTTTATGAAAAATTTGGCCCCTGAAGCTCATGCTGCGCTTGAGTCACAACTAGGTGAGCAGTTCACTAATTTTAAGAAGCTGGGAAAGTAAGCAATGGATCAATAGGTAACAGCCTCATTACATTGTTTTTGCTTCTACACTGTCACATTCGAAGTTGGAAATGCAGCCATTAAAATATCTGCTGCAGGCACCAGAATGGTCCCACTGGTGCTCACAAATGGTCCTGGTTTGGCCAATTGTTAGATGGGCGTTGGGAGAAGGGTTACATCACCATATAATATAACCTGCCTTCAGCTAAGGGAAATTCTTTTTGTCCATCATGGAATTGGAGCATTTTCTCTTGGTTTTCTTTTTCTTTTTTTTTCCCGATGACTGTTTTATTATACATGTTTAGTGAAGAGGTAAAATTTTTGGCAGTTAAATGTTATTCTTGAAATGTTATTTGTTAGAAAATAAACCTTTGGCACATGAAGTTCTGATAGCGCATGCTTTTTTATGTTTTATATCGTTCTGGGAAATGAATGAAAGATGTTAGATGTGGGACAAGTCCCCCGTTCTTTTTAATGACCTCTTGTCATTGCAGGTTTCGGTATTAGTATCATCTTCCTATTGGAATTTGAAAACATCATTTAAAGTCGGACTTTTTTTATCAGAGTTACAAGGTTTATTTTTTATACATATAAATCTGGGTTGCTGAAGCATTCTCAATTCACACACCTGAAATTAAAGATAGCTCCCGGCACGGGCTGGAATTTGTAGGTGAAACTGCATCCCTTTCCAACCAGAGAAAATCTATTTAAAAATATTACAAATTGATTTGATTCAAAATTATACTCAATTCATGGTTATTTTCACATGGCTAGTGTTAAAATTAAGCCTTTAATTTTAGGTAGACACTGTTGAGTTAGTATTTTTAGTAAAACGCATTTACAGTTCAAAAGTGGGGGGCGCCCTGTTGTTAGCGGTTGCTAAATGTCAAATGGGATATTGGACCTACATCTATAAATACTGGTAATAATAACAGCGTAAAGATCCATTATAAGTTAGCACAAATTATAGGGCAACCAAAGTAACTAAGCATCAGGCAAATATGAATCCGAGTGGTCAGGAATCCGTTATCACCCTGTTTTGTTATTACGTGTTGACCCCAAAGTGGGAGGCATAGAAGGCTGATTCTTCATATAAAAGCCAACAAGGAATTTCAAGCTCTCCACTCTACAGTGGTTGTAATCCTCTTGGCTCCTGTTACAGTAGAATCAGTCTCTGAAACCATGCCAGGAATTGGAAAGCTTGGCAGGAGAGTTTCATAATTAGAGCTCTGAGAAGCATTGTGTTCTGCATTTAAACGTCCTTGCAAACGGAACCAAAACAGCAGTCATGGCAGTGAAAAAAGCAGAAGTCCTCAATGAATCAGATCTTGGGAGAATGGGGCAAATGGTGAGAGAATGGGAAAGCGGGGATAATGATTCAGTCAAGCCAATGAATCAGATATTTGAATGATGGCTGAGTTGTGAAAATTGATCCCACTATAAATGCTCCACCCAACCGGGTATTTATTTGGTTCGCTTAGGTGACATTTACGCATTGAAATTTAATTCATGGCATTTTCTTACCCCAATTTTTTAAACACGGATTACTTCATAAAGTAGGGTCTCCAGTCTTGCATCGCGCTATCACATACAAAATTGGAAAATTTAACCCTTTAATCCAATTAATTAATTGGTACCAACAACTCTAATTTGCCGATCCGCAAAAAGGATCTTCCCCAGTAAGATGATCCATCCATCTATTCACCGTAGGTAATGTGTACAAGTAACTCAAAAGGCACCAATTCTGTTCACTCTATTCCTAGGTTCTGAAGCAACTATCCTAATTTTCACCACTTAACATTCTACCCTTTCTGATCTACACATTGGTTTTGTTTACCTCCAACTATCTTGTTTTCCGGCGCCATTTTTTACACTTTGGTCAATCCCCAACCCCTCACAGCAGGAACTCAGCGCGACAATCCAGTCAGCAACTACCAAATAGAAATCTTCAAACAAGACCCAAAAACCCCTGAAAATCAAGAGCGCATTCATATGCATCAGCCTGTTACAATACCACCATCGAGGAAAGCCGATGTAGGAATCAATCCTTCACCCGCCAGCCCGCATTCGTCCATCTTGATCATCATTTGTCTTCAGAGCCCTGCTGCTACAAGTGGCCATTGTCTGCTTCAGAATCACTCCCGGAAGAACTCCCTGAATCAGAATCTGCGCATCAATGGAATTTCTAAGTCTTTTTGGCCGAACAAAAGATGATAACAAAACACCAGAAGTAACAAGGAATTGGTTTAGTACCGCTTGATGATGAGGAATCACTACTTGAACTGCTGGAGCTACTAGAACTACTAGCCGCATGACCTCCAATAACATCTTTATCTTTCTCAATCTCCACCGGGGGGAAAATACTCATTGGCATCTCATCTCCAATATCTACATCCTCGTCCCCAGCTTCCATTTTCTTTAGCTTCTTGACCTCAGCCGGCGCAGAGTCAACCTTGTCATTCGTAGGCAAATCCTGCGATACAATGGTTAAAAATTAGACTCGGCACATTTGCCTTTTTTTTTTTTTGGGGGGGGGGGGGGGGGTTTGGTTCACTTGTTCAATTCAAATGAAAGAAACAGGACTTTACCCCATTGCCTTTGCTTGAAGCTGTATTATTGTTGGCCATAAGTGCCTGCCGCTTAATCTTGCTCACCATCTTTTTCCAATTAGTAACTAATCTGTCAAGTTCCCAAAGGGTCTCTGTGTCAACAGCTTCAATATCAAGCTCGATCTCATCCCCATCCTGTTTTAAATGCCCATTCCTCTTTCTTATAATTTGCACCACCTGTTCCATCTTCTCTGCTGGCAAACTCTGCAACCCAATCCCCAATTTATGCTTCTCCTCAAGACTCATTTCCCTCTTATTTGGGTCCTTCGCTTTCGGCTTGGGTTGCTTCACAGGCTTCACTGGAGGTGCCCGCATTGGAGATGGAGTGCGCACCGGGGACTGCAACAACGGTGGGTTTGAAGAACTTGCAGGTGCCGGCACTGGGTCCGGCTGGTTCACAGGAGGAATCATGTTGTCTTTCTTCTTAACCCTCTCTGGCTCGACTTGATTCCACGAGCTGGCCTGCAATTCTTCATCAAAGATATGATCTTCTCGTAGCAAATCTTCAAACTTCTCGTGCAGAGGCCGGTACAGTTCCTCAAACCTTGCCAGAAGCAGTTCCGCCATGGCGTACACATCATGACCCTTAGGGTTATAAGTCAATGCGTTGTTGAAAGTCAATCGCACATCAGATGCAAAATCCGCTGGCGTCTCATACGCATTCTTTGCCAGATTGGACTTCACCGTACCCAGATCCATCGGCCGCTTAATTATATCATAGTAATCGTGAAGACCCATCCCGACAACATCGACAGGAGCATTGAAAATCCACCCGTGCTTGTGTTTCATCAGCTTTTGCAAAACCTGCCCACAAGCCCTCATCAAATTTCCAATATCCGAATGCGACCGTTTCAAATCCTTACCGGGATTCAACGGCAAGGGTCGCTTGTTACCCGACATCTTCTTGTTCGCCGATTTCTTCGATGGCCCATTAAAGCTGGGCCTAGGTTGAAATTCGCCGGACTCGATGCGACCTTTCAGTTGCCGAATTTGTTCCAGCTCCGAGATTAAACGATTCTTGAGCTCGCTGAGCTCCTTCTTCGTCGACGAGGCGATATTGAAGGTGACGAATTGGGAATGATTGGAATCGTTCGATCGCCAATTGATAGAAGAAGCATCATCTGACGCCGATTGGGTCCTCTTGTTCCCGATTTTATGTTTAGGGTTAGGGTTAGAGAATGGTACTTTTCCCATGAGTCCGGCTCCACCGCCTTTGTGCTGCGGCCAATTGGGTTCGTTCCGGTTGGCTAGGACGGCGGATGCCATGGACGAGCAGAAATCACGGTAATCCTTCACGATTCCGGCGTTTCTCCGGCATCAATTCCCCAATGCAGGTTGTACAAAACATGAATCAGCAGTACCCTTGCTTACACGCGCCGCTTCACCTCAAACGCGCCAGAAGAAAAGTTCACGCGCCGCCGATCAATCCTCAGATTCCCGATCGAAGAGAGAAAACGTCGAACATAGGGTTTCAAATTTCGTTTTACCCTAATTTGTGAGCGAGGAACTAGAGGGGGCTAGGGCCGGTTCTTAAAGGCAATGCGATCTGCCCGTAGGCATTTCGGGCAGCCCAATCGCCCGTCGATCCATTTTCATTCTTGATCCAACGGTCACATATGATTTCTCTGATGTCGTAGAGACTGACCGTAAGATCTGGCACGAACGGTGTGGATCGTGACATCAACCCACGTGTGACTCTCTCAACCGTTGGATGTCAGGATGATGATAGATGAGGTGATCTTTCGATTTGGGTTCCAGTTTGAACTTTGAAGTGAATTTGGGCTTTCCTGTGACGTGTCACGAAAATTAAACTGGCCTTTTTAAGAATTGGACTGAAAACATTTGATTTTTTCTTTTAATTTAGAATATTACCTATTTAAATAACACTATAAATTACTTCTTAATATAATGCTACGACTACTAAAAAATATCAAACTTCATGTTTATCTCTTATAATCTTTTTTTTTGGGCCTAGGTTTATATCTTATACCTTAAAGTACGAGATTTAATTTTATAAACGTAAAATTACGTTTATAGCCATTTAATTTAAAGGTTTAATTTAATTTTTCAACTATAAGAAAATACTTATTCTCATTTTACACTGATATTTTTTTGAGAAAGATACTAGCATAAAATTAAATTATTTTTTAAAACCAGAATAAAATTATTTTGTTGATATTTTTATACATAACTAGACCATGCACCCTCTGCCACAGTGTTAGGATGCTATCGTATAAGAAAAATATATTATATTTTTTAAAAACATCAGACAAAAAAATTTTACCTTATATATTAAATCTTCAATCGTTAACAAAATTATGTGATTTTTTTTTTCAAAAAATCTAATAGTTATATAGTCTATAAAATTTGTAAATTACTATATTATTCACAATTCACAAACAATGTATTGCAGCCAAATTCAAAGCATACAAAATACTGAATTCACATTCTAATGAATTTTATTTATAATACATTAATTAATTAACTTTTTAAAAAATAACATTAAATTAAATTCTTACTAATCCGAATTAGATTTAAGACTATCTGTCCTCGTTCAATACTTATCGTTATAGTGAAATTTGGATCATTTAAAAACGTAATCCTCATGATAAATTTGTGAGGATTTAATTTGGAGCTCCCGAGCTCAAAACCAAAAATATGATATGGATTATCCAAATTTAAAATTTTTAATTTACAGTTTTTTAATGATAGTCCATGTTAAGATGAACATTCCATGCTCATCTCTTCGATGTGTATGAGATGTGTTTCGGCCATTAATTTTGTATGAAAATGAAATAAATTTTTAATATACACTTATTTTAATATAAAATATCTATATTTATATTACATTCTCTCTCATTTTTAA